GCTACCATTGGTGGTATTGAACTTACCAATAAGACGATCGTTCTTGGTAGGGTATATTATCAAAATAGACTTTTGGAACCTATTATTGTGGCAGGTTCACTTTGGGGACACATAATCTCCGGATTAGTTAAAAGAGGTATAAAACTATATTGGAAATATAAGAAACAAGATGTGCGAAAATTAACAGGAGAAGTTCATGAAAAAGTTGAAAGAATTATAACCGATGAAAAGAATGAACAAGGACAAGTTGTTCGTCAAAAAATCACGACAAAAACCACCACAACTATTACCGGATCGTATATATCAAGAGCTGCAGTATTTCTGCTTCAACATCATCATTTAACTGGGTATATTTTAATCCCATTTGTTTTGGGTCATGTTTATGTTTAAGATTTATGATCATAATACGTGGCACATACGATTGCGTAACGTTGTGTATTTTGAAGGTACGTACCTCACGAGATTCGTTCGACAGAGCAATTTCTCTGTACTCGCGATATTTTTTTTTTTTTTTATTTTTACTTTTTACTTGTCGTGCCACGATTTTACTTATCTTTGTGTATTTGATTTGAAATAATTCTTATTTGGAGTTGTACTTAGTCGTTAGTTTTTAACAGTTTGATAAAAAAAAAAAAAGTAATTTATATCTCTTAGTTATTAAAGTTTTACGACGACAGTTTAAAGATCCAAGCTATTTTTTTTTTTTTTTTCTTATAATGTCAGATTTCCGAACTGCAACATACAATTATAACAATCATCAAGCGTATAATAATTCTTGGGATAATCAACAAAATATGCCTGGTCAAGATTTAGTAAATTACGATTCCCCCGCTGCATCAACCTCGTCAACTCATAATCGAAATGGTTGGGGTATTAATGGTGGTCCTTCTTATTCTCAAGGAACAAATATGTACTCAAATGGTAATAATTCATAGTTCATATTAATCTTATATATAAAATTATCCTTGATGATAAAATTATTTCTATTATACGAATTTTCTACAGGTTACGGTGGTTCTCTATCAGAACAACCATCATCGAACCACATTAATGCACAACGAGGTGCACCAAATGGAATATCTGTAAATACAACTAATCTTTCATTAGGAAATAATGCAACTATAATTGGAACCGATGCGGGTAAAATTATTTGTGTAGCAGATGTTAGAGGTATATAATTTATTCTATTTTATTCTATTTTATCCTTGTAAAAATCATATTTGACATTCATTTAATTATTATTAATAAATTAAAATAGGAAATATCTCTCTATTGAATCAACTTGCTGAAGAGACTGGAGCTTCAGCTGTTATTCATTCCGGTGACTTTGGGTTTTACGGTAATATTAATTTAATTTTATCTTATTTAATAATCATTAATTTACACCTTATTAATATTAAATTTATCGAAAAAAAAAAAAAAAATTATTTTCAGAAAATAATAGTTTAGAGAGGATAAGTGATAAGTAATATCATCTCATCTATTGTTTTTTTTTTTTATGATCATTCAATCTATTTTCGGAGTATTCATATATTTATTCGGATTATCAATTCATTTAGGACATTACGTCATCTGGTGCAATATAGCACAATTATACAACAAGAATTAAGAGATAAACTTCTACATCCGACCACATCTGCTCAAGAATTGCGTCGTACTATAGTTGAATCTGAACATCCTCTTTTATCCGAATTTCCTCTCTTTAGAGAAGGTGTAAAACGTCTTATTGTTCCTGTATATACTGTATGGGGTGCTTGCGAGGATGTTTCTGTATTAGAAAAGTTTAGATTGAAAAAATACAAAGTACCTAATTTATTTATCTTGGATGAAGCTAATACTCAACTCATTGAAATTGGTGGCATTAGTTTACGATTATTTGGACTAGGTGGTGCTGTTGTCCAACATAAATTATTTGATAATGGAGAAGGTTAGTATTTCATGTTTAATAAATTTTTCATATTTCACTGCTTATCTATCAAACCTTATATATACCATTGGCCTGGTCAAATTTGTACATTTATAAATGTACTTTGGTACTAAGAAGTTTTATGACACGCATATATACTATTCTAATACATTTATATCATAATTGTCAAAATTTCTTATAAAAATAAAAGGCATAGCTACTATTGCTGGTGGTCATGGCACTATGTGGACAACAATTCTGCAAATTGGTGAATTAGTTGACACCGCTTTAAAAGTAAGCCCTATGATACTTAAATTTATTATAATTGTTATTATTTTTTTTGAAAAGGCTAACAGTATGAAATTATATGTAGGTATATGACCCAACTGAAACAAGAGTTTTTGTTACCCATGCTAGCCCTGGCCGTGAAGGACTTTTAACACAATTATCAGTCGTCTTGCGTGTAAGTATTCATGAATATCATATAAACATTATAAACATTATAAACATTCAAAAAACAACACATTACTAAATTTAACTCTTTTAAAAAAAAAAGGCTGATTTTACGATCTCAGCTGGACTTCATTTTCGTTATGGTATTTCATATAATGAATTTTCAGTACAAAGAGATCCCGAAGCTTTCCGTATGAAATTAGAAACTTCTCGCAAAAGTTTTAATGATATGTGGGAAGCAGTTAAAAATCAAGTTGAAAATTATATAGAGTAAGTCATTTCAATAATCTTTTGAAATTATAAATTTTTTTTTTTTCCTTTTTTGATGCTTATAATACAATTTTTTTTTTTTTTTTTTATAAGCAAGGTTAAATCCTTAATTACGTAATAGGTATAAAAATTTTGGT